TGCTGGTCAGAGGTGTTTAACCTGCTGGGAGCAGCATGTGGGAGAGGCTGATGTAGGCTTTTAGACAAACCAATACTATAGATGCATCTTACTGTACACCAGCTTAACTCACAGACTTAACTACTGTATCTTCTATTTTAACCCTCTACGCATTCTCTTCAGGACAAATATGATGTAGGATATTCTGCTCAGAACAGGTCCATTTCAAAAGGCTTCCTTCTCAGAAATAAACTGCTGAAGCATTCACCAGAGGTGAAATTCCTGTGTGCATGGGCATTAAAAGGTAAAATGCCAGGGGTTAACTTTGCTGAGGCATCGCAGCCCTCTTCCAGGTCAAGCACACACTGGGCACCTTTGCACAGAGGAACACACAGAAAGGGTCTTGTTCGGCGGCCCATGCGCAGGTCAGTGCTGGCAGGTAGGAGTGAAATGATAGGCCTCCCCCAGACACACAGCACAGAGGACACACTGTTTCCCCACAGCTAAAGCATCCACTGGAATGCAATAGTGCGGCAGGTAACTTTGAGTTCACCACATACCTTCATCGAAAATCTTCAAATCCCAGGAAAGCCCCCGCCTGACATCTGACACTTTGGTGGGAATTCAGAAACGGGTGAGATAGAGAGCCGAACTTGACAGGCATCAAACTGAAATGAGGATTATTTTCTTAAGGAGGGATAGTTGGCGGTCTTACTGATGTCGCGAGCTTGGTCCGCCCATTACTTGAAATCTACAGATACATACTTGTCCTCAGTTGGACTTAATATTGCTTTCAAATAGTTCGTGTCATCAGTAACATATATGATTGATCAACCTTTATTGATCATAAGAAGCAGTAAAAAATGTGCTTATTACATTTTACATCTTCCATTGTGGAACACTAACAACCAGGCCTGTTTTCACAGACATTTGTTCTGATGTGATGGAATAACTGGATGATTAAAGTGCAAAAGAAATGCAACAACATCATTTCATAATTTTTGGCAGTGTGATAATTTAATTCATTTTTTGACAGTTTTATATGTCAAAAAAGCACCAATGGAGGTTTAAATATAGAAAAAAACAACAGTTCTACCCACAATCATGAATTCTAAACATTATTTTTTCTAAAAGAAAGTAAAATCCATTCATTTTGTTCCTCAAAATTGTCTGTACAACAGTATAAATGTCATTCTTGTCATCAGATTGTCTGTTCTCCCGTCAGCTGTCTGTCGTCCATGCACTGCCATCATACAACTCCTAGAAGAAAAACACACAGTCCACATTCTTCTTGAAGCCTATTCAAGACCCCCTCATCTGGTTCAAAGTCTAGGTTGTATCCCTTGATTTTATATAAGGGTTT